TGAGAGAAACCATATGGTATATAAGCTTGTGTGTCTGATTTATTTCACTTAGCGTTATGTTTTCAAGGTGTATCCATTTTCCTACAATGTCTGAAATTTATCCTTCTTTATAACCAAGTAGTATTCCATTCGGTATAGATACTACATTTTCTTTATCCATTCACCTGTTGATACACATTGAGTTGTTCTGCTTAAAGCATTGGTAGGCATGAAATTTCTTATTTGTTCTCCATATTTTTACATTTACTGATTATAGGGTTTTTTAAATTTTCCAAAAAACAGAATATCTCTAACTTCAGTCCTATGGAAACTCACACAAAGAATCAACAACTGGGATCTCATCTTATTAAAATCTTTTTTCACAGTAAGAGAAACCACCAACAGAGTGAAGAGACAACCTAAAGCATGGGAAAGAATTTTTACCAGCTGTTCCTCAGACAGAGGCCTACTATCTAGAATATATAAAAAAAACTCAAAAAAAAATCAGACTTCTCAAATTTAAAGACCCAGTCCAAATATGGGCATCTGAAATGAACAGACAATTCTCAGATGAAGAAGTAGAAGCAGCAAATAAATATATGAAAAAATGTTCAACATCACTGGTCATTTGAGAGATGCTAATTAAAATGACACAGATTCCATCTCACTCCAGAAAAAAAGGCTATTACCAAGAAAACCAATAACATGCTGGTGGGGCTGTGGGGAAAAGGAACCCTTCTCCACTGTTGGTGGGAGTGTAGACTGGTGCAACCACTGTGGATATCAGTATGGAGATTCATCAAAAAACTAGAATTAGAGGTTCCATTTGACCCAGCTATTCCTCTTCTGGGTATGTTCCAAAAGAATCCACAGTGATATATGCACACCCATGTATATAGCAGTACTGTTTGTAATAGCTAAATCTTGGAAAGAGCCCAAATGCCCATCAACTGGTGACTGGATAAAGAGAATTTTTTTTAAATAAAATGGAGTACTACTCAGCCATAAAGAATGAGAAACTAGAGACATTTACAGCTAAATGAATGCACCTTGAGGCCATACTCTTATGTGAAATAAATAGGACACATATGTGTAAATACTGAATTGTCTCTCTGGAGTGAGAAACTGAAAATGTAAATGAGGAAATAAATGTATAATAGATATTGTGAAATAGGAAGAAAAAGTTCAAAGAGGAAGGGGAACTGGAAAGGGGAGGAAAGAAGGGAAAGGAAAAATGAAAAGAGAAGGAGAAAATGGAAATAAAGCTTTTGTAAATAAGGAGGGGTAGAGAGGTTGACGGGAGGGAAAGGGAATGGGAAAAGATAAGAACCAAGATATATTATGTGCAGGTACAAATTCCCAATGATGAATGTGATCATAATGTATGCCTAAAATGTACCAATAAACTTAATAATTTTTTTAAAAAAAACTGAACATCTTAATAGTCTGCTTGTACTGTTTTTCTCTTGAATGTGATCATCAGCATTACTCCCAATTTAACATTTTAACAGCAGACACTTTGTTTCCAACATTGAAAAGCTTTATATAATCTTAACATCTTCCAGAGAGGATTTTATTTTCTCTGATAGGCAGATAGTGCTAATAGACTGCCTCATTGCATTCAAGTGCAGTTCTGGCGTCACCTAGTGGCCTGGGTTTTTTTGCGGGTTTGTCTTCCCTTGTAGTCCATGAGTTTGTCTTTAAGAGCACCTGTCCACTTTGTAGGTCCTAAACTTTAGCGCCTAGCCTCCCCCAAACCACTACATTCTGAAGCTTTTCTTGTGTGTGGCTTCTCACTATGACTATAAGTTTAGGAGGGAAAAATGCCTTCAAATACCTGTCTCCCCCTCCAAACTGAGCTGCATAATTTCTTTCCATTTAAAGAGAATCCTGCAATTCCAGCTACTTCTTTGTACATTGATCTTATTTATCTGGATGCAAACAGGCAAATGGAGACAGATGAAAAATAGAGTCAAGTTTATCTTGCCTTTCTTAGCTTCCCTTCTCTCTAAAATTTAAATTATCAAGCCCCATTGTTCTAAGAACTTTGCACTTGCTTTCTCTATTTAATCTAGCTTCTCTGGTTATTTTTTGGTAAACATAGCTAATAAAGGTTTTAGTGCACATGATTGTTTTGTGGATAGCTTTTACTAATGTGTGGCCATTCCCTTAACATTTATTAAGAGAATTTTACTGGGTGTATGTTGATTTTTTTTTTTTTTTTGTACCTGGGATGGAACTCGGAAACTTGTGCCTGCAAGGCAGGCACCAGAACCACTGAGCTAAGTCGCCAGCCCTGTTGAATTTTATATAATAAGTTAACTGTATCTGAAATGATAAAACCCTATTATTTCTCTGTACATTTTTTTGTTACACTTTGTTTCTGGGGAAAGGCCTATCTGTTCACAGTACATAGGTGAAGATAGCTTTAGATTTAATTAAATATATTTTAATTTTACTTTTTATATCAATAGTGAGACTGGCTAACATTGGATTTCTTTCTTTCTTTTTTTTTTTTTTTTTTTTGGTACCAGGGATCGAACTCAGGACCTTGCGCTTGCGAGGCAGGCGGTGGAACCACTGAGCTAAATCCCCGGCCCAACATTGGATTTCTTGTTGTGTGCTTTCTAGATTTCAATAGATAGATTTCACTAGTCTCAAAAAGTAAGTTTAGCAGTTTCCCCTGCTCAGTTCTTTCACCTGTACGATGTAGAAGACTTAAAGATTTGGGAGTAATTTTCTGAGTCTTATCAGTCTACTGCCAATCTCCCTCCTTTGATGCATTATGAAATATCTCAGGGCTTAGCACGGTTTTCTTTTGCTCTTTGAATCAGTTTTCCAAATTCATATTTTCTCATATTTGTTCACTTTATCAAAGTTTGAATCATGTCACATTGCTGAATTCTCTTCCTTTTCCTTCTTCATTTTTCTTAGCCCGATAATCTTCGTGTTTTCTCACGTGGAATAGTTTGTTGTTTATAAAAATAAATCATGCATAGATGGGTTCTGATCCAGTTGCAATATTTTCTGTCTGTTGTTCTTTGATTTACTAAGTTTACTTCAAAGTATTACACAGATATCAAAATAAAAACCATCCCTCTGTTATGCTTTAATGTTTTTTAGAAAAGATTCATATCACTTGTAAGTGGGCACCTAAAGGGCACCACGGATGATCCCACAGACTTCTTACCTATGTCCTCGCTTCCACTGCGGAGATGAGTCTTCTCCCCCTTCACAGCCAAAATCATCTTAGCTCTTGTAGAACTGTTTCCTTTTCAAATAGCACATCCATAAAACAAAATATAATTGCATTCAAGTTTTATATATATTGTCTTTTATTGCTTACCAAAAAAAGCAGAAAATGATCCAAAACCAATGCATGAAAAACATCAATAGTATCATGCTCATGGAAGAAGTTTCCGGTGTATGTGGCAAAAAGTATTCAGAGATTGCTGCACAGCTCTAGGAGATTCTGAGGGCTATTGGTGAACATTCCGTGTGTACATCGCACTTGTGTAGCAAGTGCAGTCCAAGGTGGAGCAGCGTGGCTGTCATTCCTTGGCTTTTCAGCCACTCAACAGCTATTGAGAACCAGTTGACCTTTTAAACCAACAGACTGCCTCGGACTTCCCCTACTTTTAAATTATCACAATTTAGGTGCAGATATATGAAGGATGTATATATTTTGTCTTTTGGTTAATATGGTTTTTTCTCCACTGTAATGTCTGCTATCTACTTCTAAAAAAACTGTAAATCCTTTTAGAATTTCAGATATGAACTCTAGACTTTATTTTGCTTATCGTATTTATTCTTTTTTGTTCAATCAACATTAATCAAGCCTGTTGTGGGTACTAGACTATAGAAAATGCTGGAACTTATTAAACTATGATTCTCTAATCTTAGGAACTTACATACTTCAGATACGTGATTGTAAATAACTATATAGACTTAACTCCATTCACGAATGTCCAGGGTGAGTAGGAATCTCCTAGCATGGCTCTGTCTGACAGTAATGCAATGAGGCCCATGTACGTTTATCTAATTTTCTAGAAGCCACATTGAAAAAAGTTAAAGCGAATTAAATCAATTGGAATAATATTTTTGGTCCAACACTTTAAATCTAAACTATTGTCATTTTAACGTATACATAATAAAATTATTAAGCAGATACTTGATATTACTTTTATACTGTCTTCAAACTCTAATCTATACTTAATTTGTGGCACATCTCAGTTGGTACTAGCCACTTTTCAATAATCTATAACTATGTGTAGCTAATTACTTATGCTGAAAAGTGTAAATCTGGCTACTAGTTAACAGTGTTGACATTTTCATAATGTTATGTTGAGATTTTATAAACATGAAAACATAAATTCTAATTTTTCATAAGAACCCTATTCTTTAAAATAATTTCTGGGTAGGAACTATTGTTTCTCAGTAATTTCAATGTTTTGTCTCCCTAAATCTGGAAAAGCAAAATTTTAATTTAGCATTTTGAGTAATATTGCTGTAGATCAATTCTTTCAGAATATTATATAAACTTTTACAATTTCCTTTGGCCCTAGCACTGATATTTATATGTTAATTATTTTTTAGTAACCCTACAAGGCATTCAGAAGGCTTTTATTGCTGCAGTTTGTTTTTTGTTTTTTTTTTAACTAGGGAGTTATTTGCTGATTTGTATGTTTAGTTCTTTTACTCATATCACTCACTATCATTAATAGATTATTCTGAAGATTATGCATAAATATAGTATTATTGACATATTCAGTGTTTTAGTCAATTAAAAACTAGAAAATACTGTTCACAGTTTTTGAAATGTAGCAAAATTCATTTTGGGGAACTATTGATATAAGAAACTGCAGAAAGTATATAAATTAATAGATCAAAATACCCAAGTGTAATGTCTGGATTATAAGAGAAATAAAAAATAGTCTAACACTTTTATAAATTCTCATATTCCCTTAAAGCTATGAATGTATGTATCTGTTTAGAAAAGATCTTTATGGAAACAAGATATTAATGAATGTGAGAAGAATCCGTGTAAGAACAATTCCACTTATACTGGCCTGTATAAAAGCTATGGGTGAGTAATATTTTTAAATTTTTCTTCATGAGATTACTTGAGCTGCATGATGTCCTTGAGATGTATCCAAATATTTTCACCTTACATGGATTTAATTAGAACTAAGCATCCAGAGTTGGAAGCATTTCTTGATAAACTAATGCCATGTTCATTTGAAATGTGCAAATATCAAAGTCCAGACGTCAAGTAATAAGGGAATAATTAAGTTTAACTTGGCAATGCAATTTTGAGATGTGGGACATGTTACAGATGCATTTACTCATATAAAACACATTTTTGCTGTCCCACTGTTGTTTTGGAGAATTCCATGTAAAATGAGGATTACAATGTGACATAAAAAAAGTGGGCCCATTACATTTGAACTTTTCAACCTATTACACAGGAGATATTTAAAATTGTCAAAATTTTAGAACATAAATTATCATTACATACCCTAATTAAATTGCATTTAATAGGTCTTCGATAAGAAGTCTAAAAAGACAAGTTTTTTCAGTAGAGCTAATACTATTAAATCTGTAGAGCTATTAAATTCTGTGGAGCTAATACTGTTAAATCAAAAGCTTAGAATCACATATATAGTGTGGGGTTAGGGTTAATATGTACAGGAACCTACAAGTTAATAGTGAATATTAATTTTAAATACAACAAATAGCAATATCCAGAACTGTTTTTGTGACCTTCATTGATGGTTAAGGTTGATACATTCTCACAAATTGATACTAACATCCCCTCTGTCTGTTCATTGGTGGAAGCAATCTACTGTGATGGACTGTAAAAGAAAAATGTTGTCATTGTCTCTATTTTGCTTTCCTTAAGTAACTATGAATTATAAATTCATAGAGTTATTTAATATATATTTAACACATATTTTACATTTTCAGTATTCCTTTCTTTGAGATGCTGATAAAATACTTTAGCACTTGCTCTTTATTTAATTTGTAAACATCCTTCACATCCATGAACACCAATATTGTCAGGAATCACCGAATGCCTTTAGGAATAGACTTGAGGGTGCTGAAGCTCAGTTTGTAGCTCACTGCAGTGCGTGAGTAGCCACACTCTCTGGCCCTGCAGGAGCCCCAGTGAAAAGGCTCTGACAAGGACAAGTAGTGATGGGGCTTGATGGATTTTGGAGGAGGGTTATCAATCTGCATATGGTCTTGTCAGAAAGTGGGCAGAATTTTATGTATAAATCATCGTTCATCTTGTCTAGAGTAGAAGACAAAGGAATGAATTTCACTATTTATTTTAAAAAAAGAGCAGTTAGCCATATTAGACACAATAGAAGAATGTTTGGTTCTCCTTTGTCATCTGAGTGAAAGTATTTTTCTCTGTTCACGCGTTTACAGGGTGGTCTAGTTTTTGTCTGATCCATCAGGATGGACAGTGGTATTGTCTGACATTGATGCTCTGAATGTATTAGCTGAAAGGTGGAAATAGCAGAATCTCCAGATCTGGCGGTAAATCTAGTTTAGAGTATCTAGGAAGCTACTGAATATTCTGGGTACAGAAGCTGGTTTGTTCTTTCTCAAAATGCAGCCTTAACCACATATGCAAGATGTGTAGTTTGAACTTCCATGCAGAACAAAAATCAGCCCATGTGTCTTGAATTACCCCAAAACTTAGCTACTGATAGTTTGCTCTTCATCAGTAATAGTGGATCAACACAGATTTTTATGTTCTGTGTATTACACATGATGAAAAATACACAGCAGTTGTGAGAGATTACTTCCTACTGCAGTACACAATTTACTGGAAAGACCAAATGCTCACCTGGGAGGATGGACATCCCATGGCATTTTGGCCAGGCATGCTCCAGACATGAGTGCATCATGCTAATGGGAGGCGGTTGTGACACCATCACTGTGGTGCAATATGCACCGCATTTGTGCACGGCACCATTTAGTCTGTAAGCATATATATAAAATCTGATGGATTTTAACTTTTCATAAAATATTTGTGCCCATTTTATGATAATGAATTATAAACTAGACTGCTATCTATTTACATTACATGTATTCATAACTACCTAATGTTTGCTTAACATATTGATATTTCTAGAATGCAAAGTTTTTTCAAATTGTTGCAAATTTGAAAAACAAAAATTCACATATAAGTAGACCCACACTTCAACTGAGGGTTGTTCCTGGTTCCACTGCATGTGAGTATTGTATGGATATAAAATACATCACTTATTTTTGTATGTGCTTTGGTACAAAATATATTATTCTAATAACATGTATCAAAATAAGTGCACTCAAATATTAATTTATTATATTATTTTATTCAAATAATATTGCTGTTAATAAAGAAGTGTTAAGGATTGAGGACACAAGCAACAAAATCCATAAGACTTAATTAAAATATGCTTTATTTTAATATTCGTGAGACACAATCAAATCGGTCATCCTTGATAACTGTGACAACAGTAATTGTGAACTAATGAATCACATTTATAAATGTGTCAGAAGACTTTGTCACTTGAATTAGCACAGACTTTCAGTCATTTCATCATTCCTGAGATTTTGATAGATTACTGGCTTTATTTCCATCGTATTAACCATTGCTTGTTTAAAGAAAACAGACTTCCACCTGAAGTAAACTTTCTGATTGTTATCTTTCTTTGTGTTTTGAAGGGTCATGCTTAATATGAATATTATCCTCATTTACTTTACTAGATTGTGAGGAGAGAATATTCACTAAATATTCTGTACATTTGCATATTACGTGTGTTAAAAATATAACTTACTACTGATGAATTCCCTGACCAAGTTATTATTTTGCAACATTGAGACATAAGTTTTGCATCACATATTTCACTGATTAAAGTGTACATTTCAATAATTTTAGTATATTTATAAAAAAGTTCAATAATTACCACAATTTAATTTTAGGATATTTTCATCAATCCAAAAGAAACGCATACCCGTTACCTAATTGTCCTTCCCCATCCTCTTTTAGCATAAAGTTCTTGAAACCAGTGGTCTTTCTGTATATATAGATTTTTCTACTTTGGACTTTTCAAGCTTAATTTTTCTACCCATGAAGACCCGTTTTCAGAATAAATGTACTATTTGACAGTAGCACCAGCAATATATGAGATTTCCAAATCCTCCACACCTTGTCATTAAAGTTCACCACTTTATTTTGATGATTTTAGTGATTTTAAAATGGTTTCTCAATGTGCATCTGATAACCATTTTCATTTCCCTGTAGACCAATTAGTTTGAACATTTTAAGACGTGATTTTTACCTACTCCTGAATCGTCTTTGTAGAATACTGTATGTCTTCACATCCTTAGTCTGTTTGAAAATTGAGTTATTTATCTTTTGAGTTGTATGAATTTTCACACATTTTGGATATGATTAACATATTAGGCATTATTTTCATATATTTTCTCCTGTTCTGTGTTGTTGTCTTTTTCTTGATGGTTTCCTCTGAGCCACATAGATTTTAACTTTGACAGCCAGTTATCTGTTTTTGTTTTCACTGTTCCTTTCATTGTCGTAGCATCTTTTGACCAATCTAAGATTATAATGACTTAATCCAGTATGCTTTATTCCTTGTTATTTCAGATAAATTCTATTTATCTCGGAATATATTTATTATAGGTGATTTAAAAGTTTTCTCAGCATAGTCAAATATGCAGGTTTTCTCATAGATGCTTTCTATTGATTATGAGTGTTTGTAGAGCCCTCAATTTTTCTGATAATGTTATTTTTTAAATTACATATTTTGGAAAACCCAGAAATTAGATACTGCTTGTTTCCTTCTGTTGCTCCTGTGTTATCTCTGCTATTTGCTTAGTATTTCCCTTGTTAAGTGAAGTCATTGAAGTTTTACTGTTAACTTATGATAAGCCAAGATAAATAAGTTGACAGAGTTTTTAAAGAAGTTTTTGAAGTAAATGGAAAGCAAAAATCAAACTATCCTTATTTGTAGATGATATAATCCTTTACACAGAAGACCACCAAAAGAACTCTACATTAAGACACGTAGAGCCAATAAATTCAGCAAAGTAGTAGGGTACAGAATCAATATACAAAAATCAATAAAATTTCTGTATAGCAACAATGAATCCACCAAAAAATTGGAAAACAATCCCACTCACAGGAACTTCAAAAAATTAAACCCCAAGAAATTAACCTTTCCAAGAAAGTGGAAACACCTCTAATGAAAACTATGCTATGCTGAAAAATAAGATGGAAGTAGACAGTGGAAAATGAAATCCATACTCTATTCCTGGATATGCAGAATCTAACTGTCAAGATGGCCATATTATGAAAAATGATATATAGATTTTATAGCATGCCAATAAAATTATCAAAATGATTCTTCACAGAACTAGAAAAAAATCCTAAAATTTATATGGAACCAGAATAGAGCCAGAAGAGTCAAAACAATTAGGAGAAAGAGCAAAACAGGAAGCATCACAATCCCAGATTCCAAGTTATATTACAAAGCTACAGTGATAAAACAGCATAATTCTGGCACAAAAACAGACACATGGATTACTAGAACAGAACTGAAAATACAGAAACAACCCCAGGTGCATTCAATCATGTGATCCTCACACTGGGACCAAAATTTACCCTGGACATAAAGATAGACTCCTTAGCAAGTGGTGGTCGGAAAACTAGCCATCAATATCCAGAAAAATCTAGACCCATATCTCTCACCCTATACTAAAATCAAAATGTGCCAATGGTTAGGTGTAAAACAGAAACATTGAATCAGCTTGATGATGAAATTTTTTAAAAAAACCTCTTAAATGCACAGGCCTAGAAAGAAATTTCTGAACAGAATGCAATTGTACAAGCAGTAACAATAATACTCAACAAATACAATTATATTAAATTTAAAAGCTTCTGCACAGGACAAGAAGCAAAGAGATGAAGAGACAGCTTAAAGAAGAGGAAAAAATATCACCAGCTATTCCTCAGAGCACTAACATTTATAATATCAAAAGAACTAAAAAAATTAGATATTTCCCAAATTA